TCCTAATTAATGTAAATTGAAATTTTATCTTAGTTAATTATTATATTGGATATAGAATTTAAACTTCAAAAATAAAATGTTACAAAAAGCCAAAAATATATATACTATATTTAATATTTTTCAAAAGTTTAGGGGCACACATAATAGCTGCCGTTAGTCTAGTTAAAGGAGTGTTTGTCAAGTAGACCATTTTGAAACAAAATTGATAGTTTATAGATCATTTTGAAAAAAAAAATTGTTTCTAGACTAAATTAAAATAAATCACATAGTTAATAAATTATTTATTGAATTTAACCCTTTTGAATTCATATTGCACCAAAATATATTTTTTGCCTTTGGTAATTTTATATTTTTATAACTTAAACTATACTTTTTGTATATTTCATTTTGAAAAATTGTGCTTCTATATATTGTAAACTGGGGTTTTAAACTTTTTCAAATGATCAAAGTTTGAGATTATTTCAATTTTATAATATTAAATCTTATCATTTTTGTTTTATCTATGTTTTTTCTTAGTTTTTAGTAGTTCATCTTAGACATAAATCAATTTTGGTTATAATAGTCCTTTTTAGTTGATTGAAATTTAAAAACTTGTTACTTATTTATTTAATTTTGAATTGTAAAGTGGATTAAATAACTGTTATTTGTATCATGTTGTCTTTTTATCTACAATTGCAAACCATAATATAATAATTGCAATTGACATTGTATTTTTTTATTAAATCATGATATAATGATTGTAATTGAAAATTTGAAATTACATTCTTCATTCAAAAATTTTTGTTCATACAAACTTTTTACCTTTTATACTCGCTTGCACTTTTATTTTTGAATTAAGTAATAACTGTAATATTAAATAATAATAGTTACTATAATAATAAAAAATTGAATTTTTTGCATGTCACCTCATACATTAATGTGGAGACAAACCATATTTAAATTGTTAATAAATTATTTCAATTTCTTTTCTTTATCATTATTTTTTAAATTAATATTGAAATAATATAATAATTATCATTTATACATTGCATTATTAATTACGTGCCTCTTGGTCTTCCATTATCAACTATGCATTAATATAGAAATAAATCATATTTAAATTGTTAATAAATTGTTTCAATTTATTTTTTTATCATTATTTTTGAAAATAATATTGAAATAACACAACAATTATCATTTATATTGTAATACCCAAAATTTTGAGTATTTATGTTGAATAATTAATCAATTTATGTATGAGAGGACTAATCTAAAAAGGAATTTTAATAGGGGACCAAGTTGTCTAACTCTTCAATCTCTGGGGATGTTAGTAGTAAAAAAAGGGAGGTGGGGGGAGGGGATGGGTGGACAGAATAAAAGGGAAAGGAAAACCTAATTCCCTTTTATTTTTCTCCCTTCTCTTTTCAAGCTTCCCTCCTCTTTCTAGTTTTTCCCCTCCTCTTTCTAGTTTTTCCTCTCATCTTCCATTCTAAATCCAAAACCCTTGAAGCCTTCAACCTCCTATTCCGCCTACAATGCTTCTTGTTCTTCTTCGAATCAAAAATTTTGTTAGCTGTTCCTTTCTTGTTGGTGATGGATTACTCTATTGGTGTTCTTCCTACAACTTTTCTAGTAAGAAATCAGCCATGTTTCTCATTTTTTTTCATCTTTAATTTGAAGTGGGGTTGGCTCTAATCATTTAGGGTTTCAATTTCGGGAGTGTTTTTATAGTTTCCTCCTTGATTTTGCCCATAATCAAGCACCAGCAGAATCGTATCTCTTTATGCTAAAAAAATTCTGACAACATAACCTTGCTGTAGTATTTTGCTCATAACTCCTTCTGTAATTATCGGATTAAGTCCATTTTTAATTCTATAGAAAGCTAAGAGATAGCCCTACAACTTTTATGTTGGGCGTCTAACCTAATTAAGCTGTTTTTATGGTGAAAACTTCACCACAAGTTTGATTCCCGCTGACGAACTTAACTGGCAGCCAATCCCAAGTCAGTATTTTGGCCATAACTTTCTCTATAGATGTCAGATTAAGGTGATTCTTGAGGCTATAGAACGCTAAGACATAGGATTATAATTTATTTGTTAACCACTTAACACAAATTTTGGGTGTAAATTTTGTTGAAAATTCCAACTCGAAATCTAACTAGAATTGCTCTCAAAAGTACCCAAAATGTGCTCTGTTTTTTGCTTTATTCTCACTGTACCTACTGCCATATTGCATCACGGCTTTAATAGACTTTTAGTTACTGTTTTCCTGCTCTAAAATCCCTTGTTATTGTTTTATTTTGGCTGTTTATTTTGGTTGCCTTTTTGCTACTGCATTTTTTGCTTGAATGCTGCCCAGTTTTGGCTTGTTTTTCTACATTGTTTTGCTTCTATTTTTGCCCAAAAAATTCCTGTTGTTAAGGGTTTTTTCCAAGCATTTTGGGAGTATTTTAAGCAACAAAAATCGCCACCTTACTGCCCAGCTTTTGTGCTGCTGTTTTAGGGTAGATTTGAGCTTGGTTCCTCATTATTTTTTTTCACTTTGTTTTGTCCAGTAAATTTGCCTTGTAAACATGCTATATGCAGGGTACTTTGGTGCTATTTTAGGCTTGTTTTAAGTATGATATGCATAGGAATATATATACATATATTAATGGGGTTTCAATAGGTAGAAGTGACCAGGAGGTGTAGGAAGAAATTGTTTCTTTGGTTAGAAACTTGAAACTAAGATTAGAAACTAATTTAGTTAAATGGGGTATGTTGTAATCTTGTTTGTTCTTCGATGTGGCTTAGGTTTTAAATCCCCTTCACTGCCTTGAGACCTTGAGATTCTTGCTTATCTTATACCAACAAGGTGAGGTAAGTAAAATTATGATAAATGCTCATGGATTTTAAGGTAAAGGTTTTTTTTTAAAGCATATTTTGAACTGTTTTGAGATGGTGGTGAGACCTAAACATGATTTTTATTAGCACATAATCATGAAAGGTTTGAAATGGAGTTATTATTTTTATTGAGTTGAGCATACCTACATGGAACTTAACTGTTCTGGTAACCTAAAATTGGATTGTAAGTTGAGATTTTCTTGTTAACTCATACATAGTTGTAAATGATGAATTTTCCTTTTGAACTCCTACATGGTTTTGTCTCCAATAAGGTCATGATTACTGACGCCCACTAGTGGAAGTTTGCAAACACTAGCACATGTTGACATGTATACTTGTAGAATCGGTTCAACCTGTATTCTTACCAGTGGGATAATACACTGGTAATTACTGTGCTCGCTAGTGGGAGGTTTATGAATGCTGGCCATGACTTATAGAGGAGATGTTTATTTCATTCCTGTACTTGTACCTGTTTTTCTTTATACTTGATTACACTTGTTGGCATGCTATAACTTTAATTAAGGGCTATCGGTATTTTTACTTACTGAGTTATCTCACATAATTTTTCCTCATCCACCATTTCAGGTAGTGAGACTCGAGACGTGGGATATCAAGGGGAGTGATGAGCTAGAAGGCTAGCCATTCATATTTTGGACATAGATTTTGAGATACAGATCATTTTTTTGTAAGTTAGATTTTATTTTAAGATACTAATCTAAGTTTATGTGGATTGTTAGTTATAAATTTAGCAAGTTTCAAGCCTTGTGCATTTATGCAATCCTCTCACAAGTATACGACATTTGTTTTGCTCTTGATTTTGGGGCGTGACATATATATTATATTATTAATTGTGTGCCTCTTAATTTTCCATTATCAACTATAATATAATAATTTTCATTGAAGTTACATTTTTTATTACTTAAATGAATCATAATTGAATTTTTGTATATTCACAACCTTTTACTTTCCATGCTCTTGTACATCTATCTTCTTTTAATTCATCAACATAAAATTTTTGATATAAAAGAAAGGTGAAAAGAAAAGTTATATAACATTTAAACGGTAAAAGTAAATTTGAGTCATTTAAAATATTTAATATTGCACAAATAA